CCATCATCGTCATCAGAATCCACATCATCATCATCGGGACACCATCATCATCATCATCATCATCATCATCATCATCATCATCATCATCATCATCATCACCACCATCATCATCAACAGCATCATCAATATCATCATCACCAACATCATCACCATCATCATCGGGACACCATCATCATCATCATCTGCATCCGCATCATCAATATCATCATCGCATCATCATCAGCATTCTCAGGACCATCAACATCATCATCATCATCATCGGGACACCATCATCATCATCAGCAGCAACATCATCATAATCTACATCATCATTGGGACACCATCATCATCACCACCATCACCATCACCATCATCGTCATCATCATCACATCAACAAAATCATCAACATCATCACCATCATCGTGACACCATCACCATCACCACCATCACCATCATCATCATCACCATCATCGACATCATCACCATCACCATCATCGTCATCATCATCACATCAACAAAATCATCAACATCATCACCATCATCGTGACACCATCACCATCACCACCATCACCACCATCACCATCATCATCATCACCATCATCGACATCATCATCATCATCATCATCATCATCATCATCATCATCATCATCATCATCATCATCATCATCATCATCACCGGGACACCGAAGGGGGCGCAAGGTGGCCAAATCCAAGCGCTCGGGCAGCCGCCATCGCATCGCGGTCCGCGATCGGAAGGGTCCCGCCGAGCCCGCGCCGAAGGCCACTCTGGCGAAGGGTCGCTCTTACGTGTAGTCGAACCCAGAGCGGCACTCGAGCTCGCCGCCCCGCGTGGTGCGGCTGCCGGAGCGCGGCTCCGAGGATCGCAGGGGCCAGGAGCAGCCCGCGAGCCCCTGCGCCACGGAGGCCCCCCCCTCCGGGCCACCCCGCGGAGGCCACCCCCTCGGGCGAGGGGCCCTCCCGGGCGGAGGGCCCGAACGAGCACGAAGGGCGCAGGGGCCTCCCCTGAGCTGGGGCTGCTCTGGAAGTCGGCCCGCACCGCAGGGACGCACGGCAGGGATGCAGGGGCCTTTCGGGAGGCCACCTCGAGGCTTTTCTGAGGCGGGGTGCGGCGGTGCGGCCAACGAAAGTGGCCGGGGATGGACCGAGGAGGGCAGGATGCGAGTGCACCCTTGGGAAGGTTGCCCATGTTTACCATGCGGGTCGAGTGCCCCGCCCCTCCCCCCGCGCCCTCTGAGAAGAAGCAGGGACCACCGCCACCAAGAGCCCATCAGGGGGGGGGGGGGCCACCCCTGGGCGGCGGCACGCCTGAGCGCGGTTCAGTGCCAGAGATCGCCCCCCCCCCCCCCCCCCCGATGCGTGTGCGGTAGCGATCCCAGGCGTCCGATGTCTCGACTTGTTCCATACGGGGTCCCCTGGAGTCCTGACACTTTCCCCAGGGAGGATGGAGTTGAGAGAGATGATCAGGTCATCCGCCTTACCGGGTATGCCGAGCATGCTTCTTGCACAATCGCGTCCTGCATCTTCCCAACCCCACCCTCCCAACCGGAGAACAGCCTTTCTGAGTCTTCATCTCGAGCAGTTTGACGGCCCCTGGACCCGACGATGGCCCCCAGAGGCCGAGAACAGCCCAGAACCTTCCGTCGCCTTCCGTCGCGACCCGAGCTTGACTGGGTCTGCTTCTCATCGGAACTTCGCCTGGGGCGGCTCCGCCCCGCCGGCCGTGCCCGTCCATTGGGCCGGAGCGGTCGTACTCGGCGCGGAAGCGCGCCACGTCTTTGTTGAACACGTTGACGGTCTTGATGAGGTCCTGCTGGGGCTTAGTGGGCCCTGGAAACGACAGGGCCGTTTTTGTTACCGGTTCCGTTTTGCCGTTTTTGCTGCCGGTTCCGACGCCGTTGTTTTACCGGTTCCGTCGCCGTTTTTGGACCGGTTCCGGCTCCGGTTCCAGTCCTGGAGCCGTTTTTGTTGCCGTTTCCGGTCGCCGTTTTCTTGCCGTTTCCATTTTCAAGGGACATTTTTGGGGAAACGTTGAAAAAAAAGGCCCTGCCGTTTCCGGGGCCCACAAAGTGCTGGGGGGCTCCCCCCCCTTCGGGGCCCTCCCTGAGGGGGAGCATCGGAGGGAGACCGGCTGCGGGGGGGGGGGACCGACCTGGAATCGGCGTTACATCGCCGCGCCGATCGCGCGGCGATCGGTCCCCAGCATTGTCGGGCCCAAGACAGAAGAACATCCTTCCAGGACATGAGACCCCCCGCCGGCCAGACTGAAGAGCGCTCGAGAGTCCCAACACCGAGGATGCACAAGAACATCCAACACGAAGAACACGAGGGTACCCTCCCCGAGCCGACCTCGATCTTATACCTCGGTCCGACTGTAGCGCGGCGCTCGGCCCCCTGCAGCGACTCCGCACGCTTCTGGGCGGGGTGGGCTATCGGGCCCCTGTCGGCAGTTCATGGGCACGCGGAGTCTCGCCACGCCACTTGTTCTGACCGCGCCTAATTA